ATAGCCTTACGCCCACCCCCCAATCTGGAGAACCACCCCTATTTGGCTGTCTGTGACTGCTTATTCAATATGTTCATAACTATCCTCCAGGTTAGGAACTTAGTTCCAGTTTTGCTTCGAGAAGTTATAATCTTAATTTCTCACAACACAAGCATATGTTTTCATTCGTTTCACTTACTTACTCTCCGAAACTGGAGATGAACTCACGCATTTTCTACGATGTCCACCATCTTCAAGTTTAGAAACTTCAGAGGCTTTACAGATCAAAATTCAGAATGCTGTCAATTATTATTCCACCAAGGTTCCATTCTTTCATCTACATTCCAGAGCTGATCTAATACACTCATTTACAGCCACAGTACCAAGAGACTCAGTTTCACCCCAGCTCATGAATAAAAATTAAGTGGAAAGCAATGCATATATCTTCTCATATATGACTGACCTTGACTACATTACCTTGGAAATTAAATCAACTGTTCCTTCGTAGACCATTTATGGTTACTGAATAATGGTACAACAGTAAAATCCATCTGACCAATAGAGACAGTTTCAAGAAAATGGATGTGTTGTGACTGCACTCCCTTGTGTTCTTATGTCCTTTTCTTGCAGACATTAACCTTTAAGAGACTAATGTCACCATACGGCATCATTTAAAGTACAGCCGAGTGGCCATGCGTCACCGTATGGGTACCCGCAATCTACGCATGCGCATAGTGTTTTAAAATCTTATTTTAAGATAGAAATTCTTGTTCTACTTACACTATTTTTGGACACCAGCTTTATAAGTAGACTGTCTTCCCTCCTGCATATCTAACTGAATGTTGCATGTCACTGAATGCAGAGTCCGACGTCGCAATTCATGCACTTTGTCCGTAATTAACTCTGTTTTCCACGCGAAGAGTGCACACGCAATGTTAGTCTCGTATTAGCAGGAAGTCAGCCAGTGATGGCGAGTGGTCTCCTCTATTCATAACGCTTATAAAACATCCCAATTTCAACTATGCACCATGGCCCCTTTTCGCATTGAAGCAGTCGAAATAGAGAAGCCGCTCGTAAATCAAACCATTCAGAATGCGGTACATATGACTGAAAGCACGTAGAAGAAAGGGGCCATGTGCGGTGCTTTCTACATAATTTTTGGACACCAG